CTAATGGCTGTTGCAATAAAAATGATCAAACAGTAACACTTGTTGCAAAGAAGAAAGTGTTTCCTATGTTGCAATGTTTGAGACATGTCATTTCCTTTCTTCAGTCTCACTTGAAGGTATAAAAGGTTCTTCCATCAAGAGATGTTTTCCATTTTCTCGCTCCTTATTGAGCTTCTTTTATTCGTATTGGGAGAAATCCTTTTGTGAGTGTAGCAAGACAGCCCTGGCTAATGCGGCCTGAATGCAACCTGAATTTTAAGGTGAAATAAGTCCGTCCATTACTCAAATGGTTAGACTGCCATAAAAACATCTCCATAAAAAAAGCCCAACATGTTCTCATACCTAAACAACTAAAAGGGTCAACTGCCAATGACTATGAAAACACCCATCAGCCAAAACATTATGACAACCTAGGCACCCTGGTGGTCATAAGGTTATGAAGCCCCATGTGCAACAAACTGTCTATCAGAACCAGCATTAACTTTTTCACCTGTCTGAGCTAAAAGTAGCTCGTCTGTTGGATCGGACCACACAAGCCAGCCTTCGCTCCCTACGTGCATCAACAAGCATTGGCCACCCATGACTTTGTATTTGGTTCACCACTTCTTTGGACCCCTTTTGTTAGTAGTGACCACTCTAGACCAGAAACACCCCACTAGAGCTGCATTTTTGGAGATGCTCTAACCCAGTTGTTTAGCCATCACAATTTGGCCCTTGTCAAAATCCTCACGCTCCCCATTTTTCCTGCTTCTAACACATCAACTTGAGGACAGAATGTGCACTTGCTGCCTAATATAACCCACCCACTGACAGGTGCCACGATAACCAGGTAATCAGTGCTAATCACTTCACCAGTCAGTGGTCATAATGTTATGGCTGATTGGGGTATATGACTGTTGGAGAGTACCAGCTACGGGCATACCAGACCTTCGTTGTATCAGACAATCGTCTACTAAATGTTGTAAAACGGTTGCACTTTGGTTGGGTTTAGAAACCAAAACCACTTGCTTAGGTTGAAGAAAAGATCATGGATTAAGTTAAAATAAGTAGTTAAGTTGCATGTGTAAGTTAAATGTAAACCTTTGGTTTTACACAGGACATGAACAACGGTATCCTGGGTGAAAGTCTGGGTGTTTTTGTCACATTCCTCCACCCTGACCTCTTCCCTACAGACTTTGGCGCTCTTTATACCTTTCTCCCATCAAAATTTACTACGGCCACTCGAGGTTGTCGTAATAAGCTGGTGAGTACGGACTGAAAGAAATAGTGTGATTCAGTCTGTCTGACTGTACTTTCTGTGATGTGTAGTAGCACTCGAATGTCTCCAGTCACTTCAACATAAACATAAAGATTTGTCCTTAACAGAATGAAGCAGTAGCTTCACAAAAGTTATTGAAAATGTTTTTCAGTGCAAGTGCAAAGCGAGGAGAATTGGTGGATTAACAATACAAAGATCTAAACCTGACAGTTTACTTGTCTCTGTTACGAGGTACAAAACTGCACAACTTCTTTTTCAGCAGAAACTACAGATTGGTACATTTCAACACGTGCAAAGATTTAGTCACACGAATACTCTGCAGAAAATGTTTATCACATCATGTTTACCAGTAAGTGTTTGTTAAGTGGATGAGTTGCTCCACCTTTCTTGCTTGTTTAAAAATCACCAATTTGTGGCGGAGGATGTGCAGTTTAAGGTTCTTTAATGTATGTTTCCGCTGGCTTGATGTGACTGCAGCTGATTCCAGGCCAGTACACTTATCCAAGGCGGAGTGCCAAGGCATAATGAGACATTTGGTTGTGAAATTCAGAATCTGACAGAATGCATTAAAGCAAAGCAGACTGCAGATACAAACAGAACAGCCAGGCCAAAGTGATGACTTCCCATTTCCTACCAACTATATCATATTTCCCTTTGCTTCCAGCCAAACAAATGACCAAATTGTGCAGCGACTGTGCCATTGTTTGGACACAGATTCCTATTGTTTGTCATATTAGATACATCGGATACATCTGACAAAAGCCATTACTGGTCATGTCACTCAGTTGTTTTTGCCTTTCACCTGCTAGAAATTTTAGAGTATGAAATACTGGCTTTGGCTTTGCTGCATTTGTTGTTGCTTTGTTTTTTGCAGAAGCTACATAAAGAATTCATTTCTAGTAAGGTCATTTTCTTGACATGGCAGGACCTTACTTGTCGCTCACACTGAGTCACGAGGTCAGGGTGTCCCGCCCGGACTTTTTACAGCGCCAGCGTGCCCTTGTGATACCAAACAAACACAGACCATGTGACAACTATCATCTAAGGGAACAAATAATGTGACAGCTTCTCAAGCTCCCAGGCAGCCTGCTCTGCCCGCGGGGAGTAAATAAATCAGATTTTTCATATTTCTGAAATGGTTAGATTGAGCTTGGGCATGAGGTCAGATGTAAAGATGGAGGAAGTCTGACTTTTTACATGCCTGCTGCTATGTTGTTTTTGCTTTCCACTGCCAGTACTATAAACTACTAAAAATGCATGAATACCTAACAAAATCAAAGATCAATAAATACATATATGGAAAAAAATAAAAAAAGACTACCTGTTAGAAAAAGGGCTTGCAAATGAGTTTGTGTATATTCCATGTGGATAAGCAGATCTCTACACATCTATGAATAAGTAATCAGCTTGTTCACGTCCTGCGGGATTTACTAACAAGAAAAGCAATCAGACACAAGCATGTGTAAAAGAAAAGCACTCGAAATTCCTACTGCACTGGCCGCTCTTCTGTAACTTTCAAATGGGCAACACAGGAGAGGGACACATTTGAACCAGAGAACAGATGTTCCCAAGCAAAAAATACTCTCCCCACTAGTCAGATATAGTAGATATCTGGAGACACACAGATCAGACGAGACAGCGTTCTAAGATACTGCGGACGCTTGGACAAGAAATGACCTTTAGCTGAACTCCTGCAGTGTCACAAATAGGCTCATTCTGATTTAGATGCTCTCCTCCAGCATCCCTCTGGCAAAAACAGAGAGAAGAACAATAGGACAGTCAAATGTATCCTAATTCCAGCTGGAGACGCTAATCCAGTTCAGAGACAGCAAGGAAATGGGCTTGTGAGAGCAGACCTGGCAAATACATGCAGATGAGGATGATTATCCTGCAGATGAGCGGAAAGATGAAAACTAATTTAATAATAAGACCAGAAAATTCTCCAAGATAACAGGGATCTAGAGACCAATCCAAGACCCATCTGGCCCGCCCAGCATACACCAGAGCCATTTTCTATTTACACAGTGGTGCTGAAAGCTGAGGAGCAGCGTTGTGATGTAAAACAACCAATTTACAACAACAATTGAAAAAAAAATGATTTTGTTATAATATGGGTAATTACAGTTAATAAGATTGGGAAAGTAACAGAGTAGTACATTTCATAGTATGGTACTGTATTATTATTATTATTATATTATATTATGGAATATTACCATTGAGTTCTGCTTCAAAGGGAAATATTATACTTTTTACTTTTTACATGACATTTGACAGCTATAGTAACTAGTTACTTTTAATTAAAATACATTTACTTAAGTATACTTACTATAAGTGATGGAAACTTGTATCAACACACTATTTTGCCAAAGACATAAGTTTAATGGTTATTTTACATGAGAGATTTCTGTATCTCTTGTTTTTTACTGGTTTACTTGGTTTGAAGTGGGCGGGGCTCAGTTAGAAATAGGTGATGTCACATGCTTATGTCCACCAATCAACATTTGACTCAGAATGTGATGACAGTTTGTGGGTTGTTTTGTTACTGCCAATCAAATCTGATCAAAACACACCCACACAGCCCTGATGAAGTAGATTAACTGAGTCTTTAAATGTTAAACTTCACAAGAATGTCTTAAAAATGTTTTTTTTTTTTTTTTTACTTTGTTGCTGTCATGAATATTATTATATGTTTGTACTTTTTACTTCACTACATTGATCTGACCAAGTTACTAGTTAATTTGCTGATTTCCAAAGCTTAAAATGCATTTTTATACTATAGACAACCCAGCAGCACATAAAGCAGTTCAAAACAGCTGCACCCTAAACGCTTACACAGTTAAATAATGCCTTATGTCCTTATACCTGGTCACCATATAGTGTGTAACAAACCATTAATAATTTGATTAAATACTGCTTATAAATGCTAGAGGGGCTTTATGGCTGCTTACGTACATTTTGGCAATGCTGTTTTAATGCAGGACATTTATTTAATTAATTAAGTAGTATTTCTAAACTGTGGTATTTCTATTTTTATTTAAGTGAAGTAGAATAATTCGTCCACTAGTCTGCATATTTTGTTTTACCTGGAGGAATGTGATCCATAATAGAAAAGCAGCGTTACCGTATCTCACAAATTCATGGTAAGTCACTCTGTTGGTGTACCTACACATTAACTATGCCATTTGTGTCATTGGGAGGGTTTCATACTTATTTATTTGCCAAAACATGCATTACTTTGATCTATCTGCTTGTACCTTGGCAGAACACCTACTCTACAAAGACACATTTGAGTAATATGTACCTTTTCTGGGGAATGATTACAATGCAAATTACTTTGTCAAATCATACATCGTCCTCTAAACTAAAACTGTACATTTGTACAAGCACATACTTCAGCTTGGCTGGAATAAAATGCAGAATACCTTCCCACACTGTCTGTGTTTTATGTTTTCATTTGTTTAACATTTTATATAGGGCACTTGGAGTATGTAAAACTCAGTCTGTGTCCCAGATTTTGCAGGTCATTATGGTAAAGGCTTATTGATATGTGTATTACTGTACAGGTGCAGTAAACCTGGTGCCAGATCTGCAGAAATAGGGTATGTGAGGATGCGTGAATCTGTTTATCAAGTTGTTTTTTATAACCAGAGACAGATTCAGTCGCATTCAAAATTGTTGTTTCTTGTGTACACATTGTTGAAGCGTGCTAATGTTGATCCATTAACAATCACAGATTGCTTACCTTGCCAACATAGAGTGGCTCATTTCCTGTGTACTCCTCCAATACGAAGAACTGGTTCCATACCCAGCTGCGTTTGTGCCTGTGCAGGACCTCCCAGGGGTCTGGATCAGAGTGTGGGGACTTCTCCAGATCCCCAGAGCTGGGATTCAGCCCCCAGCATCCCCTCTCCCGCAAGGGAAACAGGAGTGCCAGGAGAGCCAGGGCTCTGCATATGCCTGAGCAACACCACCCCATCATCTGGGCCTCCTCCAAAAAGCACTGAGGCCAGAAGAGGAGCAAAAACTAAAAAAAGACAGTAGGGCTGAAATGTCAAAACCCTCAGGGTTTTATCCACACAGTCCCCGACCCTGTGTTTCACCAGAAAGCAAGAGCAGTCAGACCCTGAAAAGAGCACATGGGTTGAAAAAGAGTCAAGCTCTGCATTTTGCTGTGTTGCTCTTCTTTTTTTCCTGATTGGAGACTAAAAGTGGGGTAATTCCCTCCACTTTGGAGCCAGGGAGTTGACATTAAAGCTGGCTAACAGGGTCAGTGGCGACTGGGCAGGCTTCAACACACCAGGCTGTATAATTGGCACCTATCAGAACAGAGAGAGAGAGAGAAAAAAAAAGGAGAGAGACAAAGACATAGAGGAGAAAAGAGAGAAAGTACCGTCAGCAAAATTGCCTCTGTGACCGCAGTCACTTTAGACAGCAAGTAATGTGCTTGCTGATGCAATGATAATGACATTTTTCACCAATCATAAAGAAATTGGTCAAAAATGAATAGACAGTAAATATGGTACATACAGTCAACATAACGTCCTTCACATACACACACTCACCTACACACATGCCACAGGAAAATTGGGCGAGGTCAAAGTGTTAATAAGGGTAAGATGGAGGGGATAATGACCTGGACTTTTCAATGCACATAAGCAAAGAGATTTCACAGTGAATGAAACAACAATGGCTGCGCAGAATAACAATCAAATGCCACTCAGGCTGGCTCCCAATTATCCGCGCTTTACCTCACCAAGGTCATTATTATGTCACATTTTCTTTGTATAAGATCATGGCATAATGGTGGCGGGGTTCGCAACTCAACACTAACAAGCCACATGATCTGTGTGGCGAGCTCTCATCGCCGAGATTAAAAATAAATCTGAGCTGTCAGCAGCATGATGGCCCGAGCGCTCCTGACCTCTACTCCGAGCAGTCTGTTTGCCGGCCTGAGCACATGCAAGGGGATCTGTCTCCCTGCCATCGTCATGCCGTGACAGATCCCCCAAGATGCCAGAACATGAAGACTTGTCAAAGCAGAGAAAAGCATCAGCTCCTGACAGATAATGTTCTTTGTGTCACAACACATCCTGGCAGTCCTGAGTAGCTGAGCAATCACATAAACTTCATAATATCGCTGGTATTATCTCTCTATATTGTCACTTAACAATGACTTCAACAAATTCCCTCAATAAATATTATGAAGGAGCAAAACACTCCACACATGGAGCCAGTGAAAATGTGCAGCAGAGCTCGCAGGGAAATTTATGGAAAAATCTTGGGATGATACTGACTCAGAGATGCCATTTAAACTTCAGGAGGTCTTCTGAAAGCAGACGTTTAGAAAACTGAGAGCTTGACCGCACGTATATTTATTCCCTCGCTGACCTCTCTTTCTCTCTCCTCTGCACTGAGTATTGGCAGGGCCCTGGATGAGGAAGGTAATTGCTTTGGCATAAAGTGACCTCTTTCTTCCCACACAGATTCTCCAGTTCTCATTTTACTCCCCCCCCCCAGCAAAATAAAAACAGCACACCACACATCCTGTGGAAGTGTTTTTTTGTACTTTGCCACGGCAAAGTCATTATCCAGTGATAATAATTAACAGGGAAATAAATCATAACAGCGTGATTGTCATCTCTGCAGACACCTAGATGTTTGTGAGAAGCATCCTAAACATATGAGAATCTATTTTAAAAAACGCCTCAATTATTAATTCTTTTTGTTTTATTCCCCTTTCTGTTCAAAGTGCAGAAAGCACATGGACACCTACGAGGCAAAACTTTATCCAAGAAGCCATAAAGCTGTGGAAACGTTCATCCTGATGTGTTCGTTCTTTTAACATGAACTAGAATACAATAACCCGACAGACAAACACACAAAGTCAATGCCTCTGCATGACAATTTAATGGTAGAGGTGGAAAGTGGAGCAGATCTGGCTTCAGGGCAGCACGAGTTGTGAAGGCAGGTTGCAGCGATGGTATTGTGGGAGAGGAAATCGGTGCAGGGTCAGTTTGAGCCGAGCGGACGAGTTAATGCTTCTCGTTTCGCTAAACCCTGAACACTGGAAGAGATGGGAGTCAGATATAGACCGGAGATAACGCTAATGTAGTTGTGGGTGCTGCAGTGTGCTCAATAAGGCAGATATTGGCTTGTTATTAAATGAGTTTTTGCTGATTTACTGTCTACTTGATTTGCCCAAATTATTAAGCAATTCATGCTGCAGGGAAATCAATTATTTCAATACATTTTAACTGTTAATCATTTCAAGAATTAAAGCGTATAATGTCAAATCTAGCTTGAAATTAACTGCTCTTCTTGCAAATAAAGACACACAAGCACAAAGAGATGGAGGCGACAAGGGAGTATTTTCTCATGAGCACTTTGATTTCTTCTTCCTGTTGGTGTCAGGTGATTGACAGTAAGCAGAGCATAAAGCAGCGCTGATGTGAAAACACTCAGCTTGGGCACAATGAAGTCACAACAAAACAGAAAGAAACTTTGGCGAAAACCAAATGAAGGCGTCATGTTTACTGTGATGGATAATCTCGCTCGGTGGAAGTTGTTTTTCACACTGTACATGAGTGAAAACCAGGCCTGATGTCTGCGAGTATGATGACTGACTGTGGAGCCCAAAGATAGAAAACAAAAAATGTAAAGGAGGAGGGCAAACTGAGAGAAACAAAGGCCTTATGCCTTAACTATGAGATATCAAACTGCCTATTATTCTTCATTTGAAGGCAGTTTTACCCTTCTGCCTTCAAGCACTGGCAATGTTTTGGTGCCAAACGCTCTAAATGCTCCACTTGGTTTTCCACCCTGCAGAGAAAATCAAACTGGTGCCTTTTCTTATCATTTTAAAATATTCAAATATCAGCACAAAATATCCTCTTCTGGCTGACTCAGTCCAGCACCAGCCCTTCAAAAATGGTCATATTTGACTTCCTGTAGAGAGAGGCAGACTCATCGCTGGGCAGTGTCAAAGTGATGACGCTAAATTAAGTGAAAATGTGAGATAAAGCCGTGAATGTAAAGCCTCCCAGTCATCCCCCGGCTCTGTTTCTCTTACACACAGTGTTATAATCCCATTTGCCAGTCTCACAACAGGATTACCAGAGCTACAGCGCTCAGTAACCAATCACACGCTTCCTCTGATCCATATTCTCCTCATTGTGTACGTTCAGAGTGTCTTCACTCATGGGCCAAAATACACAACACAAACTGCTGAGAACTTAAGTTAATTACGGTTCGAGACGCTTCATAAAGGCTGTTTATGGGGTCGTTTGTGCTCCATCATTTTGTATCATTTGCTGAGGGAACCCAGCATATAGATCAGGTTTTGGATGTGTTTCAGAGAAATTTGAAGCGCTGCTTGTAATAAAAAATGAGCAGTTTTCAAAAATAATAATAACATGGCCCTTCATTGATTTTTCCTGGACCTTCCTTCTCTGTTTGTCTCTTTCTGGGGGAAATCAGAGCACAGGGTCAGCTACAGAGCCCATAGCTGGTGGGTCTTCAAGGACACTTGCAGTACATACAGAGCAGAGAGTCTTGCTGACGCAGGAGCTTGAACCCGAGTCCTCTGGCTGAAGGGTGGTCTCCCCACTCACACATTTCTGATGCCTAGTTCATTTGAATTCATCTCACATCCCTTGCTAGTCACATTCTGCACGGAAAAGACACAATGCAACATCTGTAAAGAGTTTAATGAATTGTTAAATAGAGTTCTTCGCAAAGACAGGAATGTGCTCTCCAGAGCTGCAGAATGAAACAGTAAGTGGATAACTTAGATATGACACTGACAGCTACCTTCATTGATTTTAAATTCATATTTCCGCAATAAAGGCAAAGCTTTTGTTAAATGAAGGTTTTTACTGAAACATTTTTGCAATGTTCACATTTTCAAAATCTTTAATCTGAGACCTTAAGTTCCACACATTCACAGACACATAAATATCTCTTCCTGTCCTTGCAGCGACATGCTGTAATTTATAAATGCTGCTGATGGGTTGTGCAAAATACTATATCATACTGCATATTCCACTCTCTATGGGACCATAGGGCTTACAGGCAACAAAAACATTTTGCACAGTCAGAGATCTCATATAGGTTGATGCATTTTGCCTCAAAATAAACTTGCACTGCAAGAAATATCGATCGTTATAAGTCATTTTATTGTGTATTGATCCACATTAAACAAAGCGGGGACATTCTGCCAATTCCCGGGACGCTTCCACTCATTCCCACTGCAGATATAAATGTAATGCATTTCATCAAAACATGTGGGGGTATATTAACCTGTTTTTACTTCAGAAAAGTATATAAGTTATTTTTTTTAAACTGCTTGCAGTTTTTTTCACTTGCTCACAGAAAAAAAAAAAAAAAATACAGCACGTAATCTCTGACAATATCTCTTTGCAGTGTAAATCAGCAGGTACCCCCTGTACTCGGCCTTGCGCACCGATGTGACCCGACTGCGTTGACCCTCCTGTTAAGTATCAATCATTGCGTATTAGCTGTCAACACCTGCACAATGCAGAAAAAAAGTTCTCAGGGCGCACCTGTTCCCGAATCAATAAGAGACGTCTGTCCAATACAAAAACAGCTCGCATCATTAACACAGATCGATTAAACACCTTAACAACTTCAGGGGTTTAGCGAAATAAAGCGCAAGAGGACAGAGGACGGTGCCAAATAAACACATGATGGAATCGGCCAGCACGGAAACACCGACAGTAAAATTCTCTGTGAGCGACCGCCGCAGGAAACCTGTGTCCGTGGAATACTAATTGCAGACTAAGCGACGGGACAAAAAATGCACAGAATACCAAAGTAGACCATAAATTAACTGAGATGGATGGTGGGAATGGGGGGAAAATAAACCCGACACATGATTGTAACTGTCGCTCCACTGCCGCTTTGGAAATCTCCTGGAATTACTCACCAAAAGAAGGTGGAATAACTTCACCGCCGCACAGATGGTGTCTGGTGGTAAAAGTTGTGTTTTTTTCCTCCCCACGCACCACGCAGAGGAAACCGGCTCATGTCAGAATAAAGAGTTTCAAAGTTTTCATGGTGAAATTAGTCCTGATGGCGGAGCAGGGGCTGCTGGAGATCGGCTACTGGATCGCGCGTAAATGCTCTCACCCTTGGCAGGGATGTCTGATCCTCTCTCTCTCTCTCTCTCTCTCTCTCTCTCGCCGTATCCTGCGCAGTGCTGCCTCCGTGCAGGGAACCCCAGCTGCAGGGTTTTGGGTATATATCTCCCTCTCTTTCTCCCTCTCTCTCTCT